TCGCTGAGCTCAACAATGAAGCAATCTCTGAGAGCACCAAGACGGCCCAGAAACTCACCATGGACCAAGACTAGTCCTTCTTTTGTCCGGCGATGATTAAGGTCTGCAGCAGCGTACGACAGCTCATGAAGCGCATGCTTTATTCTCTTCTTCGACACATACTATTTTAATTCTTCCCTTTTCACTTTTGGCCATTCTCACAGCATGAGTTTGCTTTATTTAGATCATGGCACTATACCCATCTCAATGTACTATCGTCATTTATGAAGACTTTCATGTTAGTGAGCTCGCCCTCACACTTCCAGACGTTGAACAACTTCCTGCCACTCGTGCAGCTTTTTCATCCAATTGCGAACGCCAATTGCTGTATCGTGGAGGTCCACTCCCAAAGATGAGCATGTCCTACTTCCCAAGACTAGATACGACGTTCACATCACCCCTTCACGAAGAATGTTTTACTTACTCTCCTGCTATTACCAAGACATCAGGCAAATGAAGGCGAAGGGGGCACAGGAACAAACACATCATATAGAGGAGACGGCAGTGAACGTAGTCATGAATATTTGATGAACTATACAAAGGCGCAGCCAAACGAATCGAAGAAAGTATATATACAAGAAACTTTTCCTTCTCACTCATAACTCGAGGAATTTTCCTTCTGTCATGCTCTAGGACTGGTAAGAGTCCAAGAAGCTAGCCCTTCCGAGCTTTCGGGAGTGAATGTGCTCGTGGACAACGACGGGGCTGACTGGCTTGTGGCCAACCATAGCGCGCCTGGTCAAGGTGTCATGGCGACGGGATACAGGCTCAGAGCGGCCGCGGTTGGAGTCAGTTGATTGAAGGCACTGGGAGTAGTAGTCGTTCTGGACCACGCACTTCCAGCCGCTGGCGCATGTAGTAGGGCCAGTGAATCCAATGCCACCGCAGCGCTCGTAGGCACCGGCGGTGCTGGGTTGGGCAGGCTGGGCAGGCTCAGCGGGCGATGGGGTGGTAGCAGGGGCAGACTCGGCTGGTGCTGAGGGGGTCGATGATCCGGCAGGTGAAGACGCAACTGGAGAGGCAGATTCAGCAGGCGCTGCTGACTCGATAGGTGCCGCAGATTCTACAGGCGCAGCAGATGGGGCTGCAGGCGAGCCGGTACCGATGGGTGCTGCAGAAGAAGCAGCAGGGACTACGGCGGTCGCAGCTGGTACACTGGAGCTAGCTGCCTCTGGTGTGGCCTCAGGGGTAGTGGAAGCAGTGGGAGCAGTGCCACTGGCGGGGCTGTCACCAAGAGCAAGGATGCGGGCAGCAGCGGCCTCAGCAGCAACCATGACGATCGCCTGGGTGTTACCGGTAGGGAGATCGGGGTGAATGGAAGCATCGACGACGAACAGGTTGTCAGTACCATAGACCTTGGTGTTAGTGTCAACAACAACACCAGCATCACCCTTGGTTCCCATCTTAGCGGTACCGACGTAGTGGCTTCCGGTCTTGAAAGACTTGATAAGGTCCGCGCCAGTAACGTTGGAAACACCGGCAGGAGCAATCAAAGAGAGGGTGGAGTTGCCACCTTGTGTCATGGCAATCAAACGGTCCATCATCATCGTGATGGCCTCAGTGTCGACGTCAGAGGTCATGTGGGGGTCGGTGATGAAGGTGGTGGCGCCATCAGCTGTGATACCAAGGCTACCGACAGACTGCAGACCGTGGGTGATGTAAACCTTCATCTGGATGGTGTTGTCGGCAGGCGAGTTGCAAGTACCCTGGAAGAAAATCTCGCTGCCGTCAGTGGTGTTGACAGATGACCACCAGTTAAGACGTTGACCGGACTGTGCGAGCTCACCAGAGCCCTTAGCGAACAGGTCAATGGTGGTTTGGTTGGGGCTGGTGAGAGCCTTCTCGTCCGTTCCGGAGAGGGGAGTGCTGGTGTTGAACTTGACAGTGAAGATAGGGTGGTCCTTGATCTCAGCACCGACGGGGAGGTCGATCCAGTCAGCCTCATCGGGAAGTGTGACACCGCTGCTGCCGCTGGCAACAGTCTGAAGCTGGTCGGCAGGACCAATACCAGAGTTAAAGAGGATACGGGGAGTAGACGTGGATCCGGCAGCCAGGATGACACTGCCTCCGGACTTGACGTTGTAGATAACGCGCTTGCCGTCTGCAGTCTCAACCTCGATACCAGAGACAGCCGATCCCTCACGAACAGCGCGAACGACGTTGGTGTTCATCATCAGCTCGAAGTTGTTGAGCTTTTGGGCAAGGGGAAGGTAAGTCCTGACCACACCGGAGCGAAGACCGTTGGCGATGTTCCAGGTAGGGTGGCCGTAGACGTCGACCTTGGCGTTGGGGTTCTTTACAAAGTCGGTCTCGGTCCATCCCTGGCCAGCGAAGAACTGCGACAAGACATCGTAGGCACCGTTGTCGTAGCGGATACCATCTTCTGAGCCGTAAGTTTGTCCAGGGTTGCGCTCGTACAGACGATCAGCCGCCTCAGCGACATCAGCCCACTTCCAGCCAGCAGGCCACTTGTCGTCGAAATCACGCTCTTGAGGCTTGACGTACATCATAGCGTTGATGGCAGTGCTACCACCTAGGAGGCAGCCAGACATGTCGGCGGTGTCGGCGCAGTAAGCGGGGCTGCCGACATCGCTGAGGTAGTAACCGTAGCCTGGAACATCGTACATCGAAACAGTGTCGTTCCATGGCATGACCTCAGTCTTACCAGTGAAAGCGTATGATGGGCCACCACGTTCGACCAAGAGGACGGACGCACCGCTCTCTGCAAGCCTCTCAGCTGCGATGATACCAGCAGCACCACCTCCGGCGACGATGTAGTCGTATGTAGAGTTAGCGACGGTGGCTGTTGTGTTTCCAGCAACTGGGGCTGCTGGCGCGGTCGAGTTGCCTCCGGGTGTGGTAGAGTTGCCCCCGCTAGGGGTGCTAGCCACCGCCATAGCAGCCCACTTCTCGAAGTCGGGGCTGGTAGCGTTGCTCATGGGAAGTCCGAAAGCTCCGAAACCAGCGTCATGGTAGTTGAGAGCCGCACCAGCATCGGTAGAGTCGGCAAGCGCCTTGTTAGAGTAAGCCCAGCCCATGATGTTTACGCTAGGGTCCTCGTAGATGACGAGACCGGTCTTTGGGTCCTCGCTGATGCAGTTCGAGCACAGGAAGGTGTATGAAAAGGCGGTGTCGTTGACGAAGGTTCCGTCGGGGATTGGGGACATGGTGAAGTCACCAGTCTTGACAGCTGGGTTCGTGTATCCAGTTGCTTCTCTGAAGGAGGCGATGACTTCGCCCTCGTGAGGCCAAGCAACAACCAGCAAGTTGCCAGTCATGGATTGTCCCTGAGTGTGTTAGTTTACATTGTCTATAACATCGCTTGCTCCTAACATACCAAGCTGAATCCAGCCCAACCACCGTCGTTGGTGATCGGAGCTTGAACCTGGACGATGAAGTCGGTAGTAGCTTTCTCCGGAAGGGCATAGCCTAGCCTGTAGCCCGAAGAGTGGTGAAGACCGCTGAAGGTGATGCCAGTCTTCTCATCTGTGAATTTGGAGGAAGTTTGCGCCGAGACGCCAAGTGCCAGAAGGGCTGTGGAAAGAAGGAATGTGCGTGCCATTTTGGCTGTAGGAGTGATGACTGAAGTGGAGGAAAGAATGCTGTGGCGCTGCCAACAAAAGAGTGTGAAGCCGTCAAGGCCGTAAAGAATGACTAGAAAGCAACGTTCGTAGAACGAGCAAAGAAAAAGAGTGAATGAATGAAAGCGAGAGAGCTTGTACCGAACAAGTCGCCGCAAGATGTCTCTCTATATGTATGCTGTGCCATTGCGGGTCAAGAGCCCTCAATCTGCCACTTCCAAGGATGGAGGCCATCTCCGACCTAGCGCCCATCAAACAAGCTCACGATGCAGCCTCGCGGCGATGTCAACCTGGATTCTGGACCATGGTGGTCCAGGAACATGGTCCATCGGTCGCGCTACGGGTGTCAAAACGGTCAACTGGCGTTTGCACCACTGTACTAAGTTAATTACCTGCAGCATGGGCGGAAAAATACCGACGCACAGTTCGGTAACACGGTCGCGTTCATTCGTCGATAATGAAGTTTCATGTTTGTTTGGCATGAACCTGACGTCGGGGTGGAGTCTAGCTGTTTCGAAACGAATCGCCAAGGCAGGAACCGCCATCCTTTGCAAATTGCGCGTGGGCCGCTGAGCAAAACACCATCCGCTATTGATTGCGCTCATGGTTCATGGGCTTGACTGATGAGTCGAGCACCTTATCTTCTGCTTGTCCCGGTGGTTGTAAGAGTCAGGTCGCATTGTCGTCTGTGAGGCTCCGAGTGCGAATGCAAAAAGATATGGGACCCATCAATCTACTGGTACCCATCAGCTTCCTACAATTACTGTCGCAAAGCTGAAGACGATAGCGAGCCCGGGAATTCGGCTCGGCGAAAGAAGAGATGGAACATTGAAGTACAAAGGTGACGCGTTCACAATAGGTGGGATTCGGCGCAGGTTATGCGTGAGCGTCTGCTGCAACGCGACCGGTCACCGACAATCTTCCGACAGATTAAAGACGAGCTCATGGCTCCAAGGATACACTTCGATGGTTGCTCGATACGGAGTTTTGTTTGATGGGATGAAGACGTTTGGCTTGTTGACGTGCAGTGGATATTGCGTCCTAGTTTACCTGACGCTAGCTTGATCGGGGACGACTGAGGCACGGCGCAGTAACCGGGACCGTGAACATGTCAAACATGCGCCGGCGCATCGATGTGTTCAACACCTCGTTGAACACGCTTTCAACCAAAATTGGTCTGTGCTTTTTGGATGAGGAACGAGTCGAACGTGCTGATGATGCGGAGGTGTTCAGGTGGGGTAATGTACCTCGGCACAGGATGTCGCCTCCCGCCAGGTACCGTACGCCCATATACTAATCTTCATGCCAACGATCTTATGCTAGAATAATTGCTGTAATTCACCACCTTTGTACAGACTACCTGCATAGCACCGTATCGTCATGGCACCAAAAAATGAAATTCCAGCTTATGTCCTTGGTGTTGGGCTCACCAAGTTCATCAAACCCCGACAAACGCGCGCATATCCAGAGATGGGCTATGAGGCGGGAGTAAAGGCAATGTTGGATGCACAGATTAACTACGACGATGTTGAGACAGGAGTTGCCTGTTACTGTTACGGAGACACTACGAGCGGTCAAAGAATCTTTTACCAGTTCGGCATGTCGAGGTATGGCAATTAATAACGACCTTGTGAAGTATAGAGATACTGACAAACACCAGTATCCCAATTTACAACACAAACAATGCATGTGCAACTGGTTCGACCGGTCTTCATCTAGCGCGAACACTGGTCAAGAACGGGGCGATTGACTGCGCGCTCGTTATTGGATTCGAACAAATGCAGCCTGGCTCTATCAAATCAACATGGAGCGATCGCCCTTCCCCCATGGGTCTCTCGATGCGTATGATGGCCGACACCCGCGGCATAAGCAATTCTCCACCCAATGCTCAATACTTTGCCAATGCTGGTCTTGAATATATGGAGAAGCATGGAGCTGAGGCACGCGACTTTGCTGAGATTGCCAGGATTAGCCATGAACACAGCTCGAGGAATCCGTATGCGCAGTTCAGGGATGTCTACACACTTGAACAGATTGAGAAGGCGCCCATGATTCACTTCCCGTTGACTAAACTTCAATGCAGTCCGACAAGCGATGGTGCTGGCGCAGCCGTTATCGTGAGCCAAAAGTTCTTGGATGCCAGACCGCATCTCAAGAGTCAAGCTATCCTGATCGCAGGACAGTCTCTGATGACGGACTCTCCTCAGCTTTACTCTAAGTCATCGATGGATCTCGTTGGTTACGATATGACTAAGCGCGCAGCACAAGCGGCTTTGAAGGAGGCCGGTGTGAGTGCGAAAGACATCAAGGTCGCGGAACTACACGACTGCTTCTCGGCGAATGAGCTCATCTTGTTAGAGGGTCTGGGTTTCAGCGAACCTGGAAAAGCACACATGATGGTACGCAACGGCGATATCACATACGGTGGCAAAGGACCCATCGTGAACCCATCTGGCGGTCTCATCAGCAAGGGACACCCTCTCGGCGCAACTGGGTTGGCACAATGTGCAGAACTGACATGGCAGCTTCGAGGCTGGGCCAACAACAGACTCGCTGACGGAGCAGACGTGGCGCTCCAGCATAACCTGGGCCTGGGCGGAGCTGTCGTGATCAACGTATACAAACGCGCTGATGGCAAAAAGAATGCGAAGATGAGTGATGAGGAAGTCAAACAAGCGAGTCAGTTCTCCTACAACCCTGCCGTGGAGGCACGCTACGTCACCAAGGAGGAAGGCGAAAAGGTGAGAAGCAAGACTGTGGCAAATGAGTATGCGCTAGACGATACCTTAGAGAAGATTCAAAGTCGACTGTAAGCTAGTTGTATAATCGAATCAGGGGTTTGAATAACAACTCTTCAACTTGTCTTGTGTTTCTTGCATGAAAGCCTCATCTTTGCTGAATACCATGAACCTTTTCTCATATAACTGGCTTCGGCTGCTATAAACCATTCTTGCTGTGACACCACGTTTGAAGACTAATATTAGGTTTACGCCTAAGTTTAGCACTAATGGCACATGGCTAGTCCGTCGCATTACTGGACCTGGAACTTTGGATGGAGGATCCCAGCAATAGCGCCATCCACGTCTTGTTCTGTTCACCTCACAGCATACATGCAAATCACCTCTCCTTAATATTTTTTCATATCTGTTGGAGTATAGTAGTGATAGATTCATGCTACGGAGGATTCTGACTATATAGGCAGTACGCTAGTGGGTATGTAAGGTACCAATAACAACATGAGATGGCTCTTTCCTCAATATCAACATGCACTCTAGTAAACCTCAAGAACATATCTGCCCTCGTCCTTCAACTTTTCAATCTCCTTGCGTGAGTCAACCTTCTTAGCACCGACATTCTTGACCTTGTGCTCGACTTCGACAGCCTCTTGAAGCACCTCAGTGACATCAGGCACAGGCCATGTCGGTCCACAGAGGTAAAAGCTACCCTCCTTTTCGAGATAAGCCCTTCGGATGTCCGTCAATGACTCCCTCATACGGTCCTGGATGTAAATCTTCTGAGGTTGGTCACGAGAGAAGGCGCGACCAATGAGAGTAATAATGCCGGCATCTTGGTATGCCTCCCATTCCTCACCATACAAGTATTCTTCGCGCTGGTGACGGGAGCCCATGTAAAGTAGAACCTCGCCGATTTCGTGACCTTGCTGCTTCTGGTAGGCACGTTCCTGAACGAAAGCACGGAAAGGCGCAAGACCGGTACCCAGACCAGCCATGATGATGGGCGCAGTGGTCTTGGTAGGGAGCTTCATAACGGACGGCTTGACCGAAACGGTAACAGGCGAGCCAATCTTGAGGCTGTTGAGGTAGCGTGTCGCTTGACCGAAACGGTCGCGACCCTTGGGGTCGACCCAGTTGACAGTTACAATGAGCAGCGAGACGGAGTTGGGGGTTACGTGCTGTGCGGATGCGATGGAGTACTCGCGGCGCTTCATTGGGCTGACAATGCGAACAATGTCGTGGAAGCTTGGGTGTGCAGATGGGAACTCAAGCAGGATGTCAGCGTAGGTGACGGTGTCAACCTCAGCACGACGCTTGAACTCAGTAGCGCCTTCCGCACTAAGGAGCTGCAGAAGCTCGCGCTTCTCACGCTCGTCATCGGCGAACTCGGCGAGCGCTTCGTAGAAGCGCTTTGGCGGGCGACCGAAGATATCGACATTTTGTAGCAGAGATTGGTAGACAGTACGGTTGACAAGGACGTTGGGGTCTTCACGGGATGGTACCTCAACGATCTCATCAGGGTTGAGACCGTACCACTTGATGAACTCGTCGACCTGCTTCTCGTCGTTCTCTGCGTGGATACCAAGAGCCTCACCAATAGCGTAAGTAACATCAGAATCACCGAGATCAAACTCGATATGGAAGATGTTACGGTCGTAGTTCTTTGGCGTGAGACGGCGACGCTCCTTAACATGAACGATACTGGTCTTGACGCCAAGATCGGGTCGGACCTGGTTAGCGGTGCCGAAGGCTTCCTTGAAGGCGAAGCCCTTGGCTGCGATCTGCCAGTCCTTGAGCAGGGTCGGGGGCTCTGTCTCGATACGATCGAAGGGAGCGAAGCTGTTGACGTTGATGTCTGAAGGAAGGCGGATGGGCTCAACGTCCTCCTCAACGGTACCCCAAGCGGCAGGAACTTCGACCTCACGGAGAGCGCTCTCGAGCTGCTGGGTGAGTTTTTCAAAGACATCTGAGCTGCCGTTGATGGCGGCAAGCTTGCTCAAGCCAGAAGTCAGAAGGTCTTCACGAGCGACCTTTAAGAATGCCAGCTGAGTGAGGAAAGACTCTAGAGACTCGTCTTCAGCAACAGCTTCCGATAGAGTAGGATCAAGAACGAAAAGCTGAACGTCCTTGTCTACAAGAGCCTTGCGGAAGGCAGGTGACAGCTTCTTCTCAACGTCCTCGTTCTTCACACCTGGAAGCTTCACAATAATGGAGCTGTCAGGCTTGACGCTGTTCAAGATATCGAATTCCTTGAGGATAGCAATGTCACCAATGAATGCAACATCGGCTTGCTCAACAGCGTAGGGCGCCTCAATAGTGTAGTCAGCATTGCGAATGTCAGTGCGAGTGACACCGCCCTGCACGAGGTTGTCGTGGCCGCTGCGAACGAAAACGTTCTTTGAAGAGTCGCTTGAGAGGAGCTTGCCTACTACAACAGGTGCGTTGGCGGCTAATGATTCGTCAAGGTTCCAGAAGCTGTACTGCTTGACGTCGGCGGTGTTCAAGATGTCAACGTAAGAGCGAACCTCGGCTCCCTCCTTCTCGGCGTGGATCTGGCGGAAGGCATCGAGGAAGTTGCTGGGCGTCCAGACCTGCTCACGCGAGTACTTGACATCGGTGACTTCAACGTCCCTGTCGTAGGCGAACTGAACAGAAGCCAAGACATCGGAGTAGAGTCTAGAGTATTCCGCGGGGTCGAGCACAGCAGCCTCGTCCTTGACCTGACCAAGAACGGCGATGCGACGAGTGCTCTTTGGGAGCGCCTCAAGGAAAGCCTCCTCCACGAATGGGCGGTAGACACGAACGTTGACAACACCGACCTTGTCACCATCCTTAGAAAGGGCGTTGGCGACCTGAGCAGTCAACGAAGCCTCTACAGTACCAAAGACGACAAGGACGCTCTCTGCCTCTTGGTGACCGTAGTAATCGAAAAGCTTGTAGTCCTCGCCGAGCTCGTCGTTGAAGGCCTGGAGAAGGCGCAGAACGCGTCCGGCAGTGTCAGAGTGCTTCTTGTCGACCTCAGAGACGGCCTTGAGCACTGCCTCGTAGCTGTTGTGTAGCCTGGTCTGGTCAAGGGTATCGACCAGCCTGGCTGTCTCCCTTCCAACGCTAATGCCATCGTATGTGTGGATCGTGGGGAGGACACTCGATAGGAGGGTAGCGAAGAGGGACATGTGCTGAGTCTCGAAGACAGACGGGCTGCAAACGAGACCAAGACCAAGATCCTCGGCGAGTGTGAAGGAAGAAACATAGTCGGTGACTAGGCCAGCGCTGGAGTTGGCAGAGTAGTCGACAGCGGCAATGTGGGCGGTCAACGGGTTTGCGACCGAGTAGAGGGCGGACAGTTGGTCGAGCGAAGCGCGGAGGTAGTTCAAGGTTGAAGAGGAAGCGACGATGGACTGAGGGATGTGGCGCTTCTTCAAGTCAAAATCCTTCGAGAACATGTATCCCAATGCAATGGCACCAGCACCGGTCCTGGTCTCCAGAGAGGAGACGCCAGTCTGGTAACCGAGAGCATTCTTCTCGCCCTGTTCTTGCCAGTACTTGACTGCTACATCCAGATCGAAAGATTCAGCCGAGTATGCGAAGATCTTGTCGGAGAGAGCGTATGCGACTTGTTGGACGAGAGTCTGGGCGGTAAGGTAGGTTGGGCCACCGATCGATTGGTAGGAGAGATCCTGACCAAACGGCAGACTGGACGACTTCTTGATGAAGTCCTTGGGTGCGTTCTGCTCAGCACCAGGGCCAGCGGATTCTGTCTGCTGGAAATGCATCTTGAATGCAGGTATGCGCCTCAGCAACTCAGCCTTTCAGTCGAGGCAATGAGAGTCTCTCTTTGGTGTAAGAGAGAAAGTGAGAGTTACTACGACCCCACGGAGGCTTCAGCGAGGGAGTATATCCGCGTCGTGGATTTGTCGCCTCGTAGCAGCCAAAAAGTGCCGTCGTCCAGTAGCGACATCGGCAGAAGACCGACCGAGCAAGACGCAATCCATCAGACAGACCATGATTGGCTCTTTGTGCTTGCTCTAGCACGTCTTTCGGGCGATAGATTGCAAATGCGCGGAATGTCGCCTTGACGCGACGAGAATTTGGCCCTAGCGCGAATTGCGTGCTTGAGACGCCAAGATATCGGAAACGTGACTGCGGGGAAATCACGGCTCTCGGAGATCTGATCCCCAACACGTCTTGCATCCTATCGTGAATACCGCTTGGTTTTGTCTACACATGCGACGCACCATAGCACAAACATCCGGCTCATCGAAGCTTTAAACACGATCGTGAAGACTCACCGTGATATGGTTCCGACCCGCGTCATAGACCCTGATCATTGACCCCATCTATACAGCCGTCTGCGCAGCATGCGACGAACCGCGACAACAAGAACGTATCGTTGATAGATATGGCTCACTCGAGGCAGACTTGCCCATCGGGCTGTGTGTTGATGCTTATTGGGTGAGATGACCTGCGCGGAGGGCTAAGCATGCAGCCGAGCTCAGCCTTGTGTGCTGTACAACAGACATATCGATGCAGCATCCCCTTGGTAAATTCCAATCTCAGCACATCTGGGCGGCTGGCTACTCAAGAATCTTTCACCAGATAGAGTATCTTATCCTACTACCATGGAAGCCATCGGTTTGGCCGCTAGCGTTATCACACTCATTGGAGCAACAAGCCTGACAAGCTCTATGCTGACAAGGCTATGGGACTACATGGAACACCAATATACATTCTCACGGCGCTGAACGAGTTGAGAGATTTTCAAACAGCCCTTGCGCTTGTACAATCAGCTTTCGAAGAGCTGGACGGTGCCATCCCGGACGCGGTGGTAGTGGAGGTTCACAAACTCTTGTCACACGCAGCTGACCGCATAGGAGCTTTCAACGACTTCTTGAAACAAGAGGTCTTACGAGAATACGACCCTGAAGCAAGTAGCATGATGCCAAAGATAAGGAAACGAGCAAAATTCAAAGAGATCATTGGCCAAGCGCAGTGTCAGATAGCCACACTTCAGCAGGAGCTCCTTTCAATCAAAATGAGCCCCTCGTTGGCGCTAGGCGTGGCAAATCTGTGAGTTTATT